TCATTTGCCTTCGTTACGAAAACTGTATTCTTACATGTATGTATACACCGTACGGGCTATTTACCTTATAGGTTGGCAATACTGTCTTAACTGCGCAAGGACCACGCACACCAACAGCTTTCATGCATTTTATGGCCGTATTTTTTCAACGTCATAAGTATTGTCTCAATGAATAAGATACACCACCTCTGTGGACATGTTATTGCTGCTGTTGTTACTACTACTACAAAAGCTATATATTAGCTTTAAAGCTTCGCCAAGTTAAACGCACGGACCGATATAAAAAAGCTGGTTGTTATTCTTGTCCTCGCATTCAAGCCGATACAGACATATCAAATATCGCCCCCACCCTTATTCGAGACATTAGAATAACCCGACATTTCTGTCATAATATTCAGAAAAGCGTCGCTTTTGTTATTTTAGAACGCGTGCTATCTCTTACTCTCATTGAGTGAGTTGTCAATTACTTGGATTTTCGACTTTTTCCTATCGTCCGGTATTCTAGAAAATATAAACCACGACGTTTCGGAAACTGAATCTGTTTCAACCCTCAGTTGAGGGGGAACACACCTAATCAGTTGGGTCCCTGGACCAGGCGTCTTCCCCTATGCCTGAGTACGGAAACAGGTCCAATTTCCGAAACGTCGTGGTTTCTATTTTCTAAAATACCGGACGATAGGAAAAAGTCCAAAAACCCAGTAATTCTGCGACTTATACAACATCGTCAGAACCCTTTAGAATCTAACTTGCCAATATTTGGAACGGTACCTGAGTCTATGATGCCTTCCTGCCACGCGAGCATGCACACACATTTATTTTGTTTTGTGAAGGGAAGTTGGCCTGACTGTGGTATTATCCAGGTATGTGGCTGGAGAGATTGAGGAAAACTACAAAAATGCTGAAGACACTCTGTGTTCCCGGCTAAAATTCGAACCGAGAACTTTCCGAAAATATTTGAAGAGCGTCACCGCTAAATCAACTAGATCCAAATCACTACCATCATCAATATCATTAATTTAAACGAGGGTACATCAGTATGGGCTAACAAAAATGTAAGAAAAAGGCTTCAGTAACTATGATACAGAAACCAATGACACCCCTATTACAAGCATATGTAGTCTAACTATAACACAACATTTGAGAAAACCCGTTTCTTTTTATTATTATATTCTGCATACATTGGCTCCAATCAAAGAATAGCATTCTATCAAGTTGAGCCGTGACAAAGAAAACGATCTTTACTTGGGAACAAAATATTAGACACCCCATGACCACACTGGGACACATACTGACATTATGCCTATATTGTTATTAGTCTGATTACAGTGACCATGTGCAGTTGGACATGGTTCATGAATTACTACTTAATATCGAAATAAACTCCTGATCTATCCAATCTGTAACAGTGGCGGCATAACAAGGGATCTACGCTTAACACACGGGAAACAAGGGTCTATTGTTGGAACGTCAACTGAACTAAGCTTTACCTAAGACGTTATATCCAATTGCGCTTACGTAACGTTGCTCCCGTGGAAGAGATATTGTTGTGCATCTTACTAACGACTTCAACACGAATTTAACTACTGGTTAATAAGCTATTTAAATATGCTATTCTGTGGTCAAAAACCGTTTCAAATTTGATTAACTCTGTGCTCGAAGTCATGTAAAATGAAATAAAGTTCGGATATCACTGGCTGTATTTCAAACAAAAAGTGCAAATTATACCGTCCACTTAACATTCAAGACACCGGATTCTGGGACACACCGGTGGGCGTAGTCTTAAACGTTTAGTTATAGTATTTGCAGTTTCAGCCAGAAGAGGGATGTTCGTTAGTCTCTAGTTATGTTTGAACGCAAAAAAAAAATTAAAATGAAATGAAATTTCGTTTATAGGCTCGCTTTCTGGTGCAATGTCATTCGTCCTGGTCCAATGAACAAACCTTTGCGCCCTTTGATTCGACAATTTAACCTTAACAACATCCTGAAATAGCACTTCACTGCCTGACAATACCTAGGTCTGTGTCTTTCTTTTGCTTGTCACACAAACAGAAGAAGAGAGATTCCATGTGCACAAAAAGGTACGTTTAAACTACGGAAATCCTTGCTCATCATACGCGAAATTCATAGCTTGAGCCTACAAGCCTTATTTACATAAATAAAATTTCGATCTTTTCTTACAAAAATGTAAACTTGTCCCTGTTCTTAATCAATTAAGCGCTATGCCATTAAGGCATATATGTGAGTGGAGGTATAGCTCCACCATTCTTGACCTCAGCACTAAATGGAGGTGAGCAGTCAGCTTTACGCCCACAGTCGCTTTATCCCCGGAGAAAGAGCTCCCGGTACCAAGTGGACAGGGCCTCAGAGCCGGTTTGGACATCGCGGAGAACAGAAAAATTCCTTACCCAATCCGGTAATCGAACCCCGGATGACCAGCGCGTAGCCCATCGCTATACCGACAAACTATCCCCGTTCATATCCTTATCTAAAGGGACTCACCTGTAAAATATAACGGCAATTAGGGAGTGCTTCTTTGAAATACAACGCAAAATAAAAACTATTCGGAGTTCTACATTTTCAGAATATGAAATTTGGGTATCCTCGTCATGTGGATGTTTCTGCAATATCTTGCACAGAACCATGAAGGAAAGAGAACAGTGAAGAAAGGTCCGGCTCAATTACCCGCCTATCGAGAAACCTTTCCGAGGAGAGAAAGCAATCAATCATTTGAAATAGGCCATATAATTCAAACGCGACGGAAAGTGAAATGCAGACTCTTGCAGTATTAATTTGTATAAAGTCTTGTATATAAGAATTAGTGACAAATGTTATTTTATTTAAAATAAGTGCATCACTAAAGTAAAGCTATGCGGAATACATGATAAAAATATAGCTTTACTAGCTACGCAGAGCCTAAGCCGAGATTAACAGTCCCCATGTGCTATCGCTACAAACTTCTACAAGTGATCCAGAATCAGCGAACAGAGAATTTAACGTCGTACTCTCCCCTCCACTTTATGCGATAATATTTTAAACCATTGAAAAGATCAACCTTATCTGTCTATAGGGTAATTAATTTTAATAAGTAGTAGTATTGTAGCTTGATGTGACAGTACGTTACTTACATAATAACAATAATAATTTATTTCTGCAATTATTTTTATTGTATCTATAGTCGTGCTAAAAATTCCAGGCCTCTAAAATTAATATCTACAAATATGACATCGCAACACCGTAGCGTCTAAGACGATTTTCATGACAGGAGAAATGGAAAACAAAGCATAATAACATATGTTATTTAATACATGAAACAAGCGCTGACAGTTGTTCTTCCTTCCCCCTTTTTTAGTTCCGAATTTTCTTTTTACAGCGACATGCATGGTTCGCCTGGAAAATCGTTTCAGTGAAGGCCTTACGGCGCTGTAAACCAGCCGACCTAGCCAGAACCAACGAGCAGTCAGTCACAGGGGAACTACAGCCATAATTTTTGCCATAAAAGGCTAGTGGCACGGCTTACGCTATTTATATAGAGCAATAGGCCTAATAGTCAAATTATATTAACTTACATCGCTTTGGATAAGTTACCGGAATCCGCAGAGGGCACTACGACAGACATGAAAATATTCCGATCCTTGAATGCGCATCTGCGCTAATGTTCTCCACACTTTGCGCATATATAACTCAGGGTCTCATCAGGAACTCAGGGCGTCTCCTACGTACACTTCAGTAGCTGTGTCATTTCCGGAATGCAAATGCCTATCCATGCGTCTTGTTCTCTCGCGACTGATTCGCTTAAATGTACACACCTTCACATAGAGATCTTCTGGGCTTTCGTCTCGTATGTGGACACCAAAGTTTCGTCTGAAAATACGGCATCCACCTTCAAGTTAAACCCTGTAGGTAAAGGCAGCACGATTCTCCGAAATGTAAGTATCCACCTACAAGACTCTACACAGTCACAAACAGTCGCTGCCGTGAATACCCGCAAAATATTCTAAGATTTTACACATTAGACCAGGAAACAAATTAACCAATGACGTCATACGTCGTCACTATAATGTGACTAGAGTCCTTTGGCGGACTTATTGTTTAAAGTTCTGCTGAAATTCCGAGCAAGTAACTAATGTTCATATTTTGGTGGAAAACCGTTTATAACATTTTCAGAATAACGGAAAAGTCCGTGCTGGCTGACCACTTATCTCATCTTACGGCCCGAAAGTTGCATGCAAAGTCCCGAATTGTGCGTGATTTGGTGCTCGATATGTCCCTGCATCACAAATAATTAACAGATACTATTTTTAACGTTTAACGAGTTTATAACGGGCCGATGTACTCTCAGATTGGGCGGGTCGCATTCGAGTAAGCCTACTGGACGATTAGGCCTACACAGAAAACTGGACACCTTATTATTTATTACTAAGAGGAAACAGCTTGCCTCAGTTCCATACTTGTAACATATTGCCGTGAGATTAATTTAATAGTGTTGCACGTTATCTGAGTCTTATTTCGAATGTCTCGAGTCTGATATCGATTTGCCGTAAACGATTTCACAGTAAATGTCATGAAATGACAAATTAGCATAAAGCACAGTATTTTGTTGGAATCGACTCAGCCCCGATCACAAAACCTCAATAAACTGGACATGATATTAATAAACAGGAAGACATTTTTCTATGTTTTACCCTTATCATGTAGGCCTAACGGATCTGCGTAAAGCCTTACAAAGGGTCACAGGAAACGGAAACGATTCCATGCATTGCATTTCCGATAAGGAGCATTACCACTTGACCAAAGTCGATTCTTAGTTCTATGATCGCAATTTTGTACACATGGATACCAGCAGTAAACACAACACGCAGTTAAGTGTGTGTCTATGGCTCATTAGGCGAGGGGACGGGTTCCGAAGCGTTGGCGGCGAAGTATGAGGGCATAGCCGGTAGCCGCGTCGTGTTCGCTGCCGGTGAAAAAACATTACGGGAGCACAGTGCCGTGTTACTCACCCATAGATTGCATCCTTGTCCCGCTTGTGGACGTCTGTCACAGGGCCCATTACATGATTGGACACGGCTGCAACGTGATTGCCCGTATGATACTGATGCATGCCGTGGTTCATGTGTGGTGAATGGTGAGCGATGTTCTGGAGTGGCCGGTGAGCCACATGAGGGTCGTACATGGAGGGTGGGGCGTCTCCCATGTAGGAAGTGTGAATTCCATCATCATACTGCACACAGATTGCACACAACTTTCAGAGGATGAATATATGTGTGTATACTATATATATATAAAGTTTCGATCGAATTGTCCCGAATTTACAAAATCTGTAATTCTAGTTTGTCTCGTGATTTCTTGCTCCGTAAATGAGGGAATCTTTTATACAGAGCCGGCAACGTAACATGTAGTTCTAATATATTATTGCTTACAATGAACAAGAAATTTTTTTATTTAGCGCAATTAACTTTTCTATGCTTATGCACATCTAGAAATTGATTCTTAAAAACTAGTTTCCACATTTTTAATCAGTGTTGGCAGATAACAGAAATGGGTTATTTGCTTTGCATAATCAAAAAGGTAGCATAAAATTGCACAAAAGTGCATTATTCTGGGGTTAAGAATTACTGTGTTTTTTAACTGAACCCGTTTATAATAAAAACAATTTAAAAAATATGTTATCAATCAACGTACAAAATATGAGGATGGGAAGCTTAATTAAACTGTTATATTTTTTTCTCTCTCGGAAAGGAAGTGGAGTTATCCGCAAATAGGCACACACAAATCATTTACTGGCCAAGAACACTTTTATCAGAAAGCTCGAAACTAAAATATGATTAAAATTTTAAAATTCAATCTTGTATAAAAACCTAGTATATCCAGTTCAAATCAAAATATACTATTCATTGTCCTTTAAAATCTGAATTTCAGTAATTTACGCTACACTGTGAACAAACCCTGCACATTTTGCGATCCGTGCGTTTGTATGTGTGTATGGCGTAGGATAGATAGACGTGCTAGCCTATCAGACGCATTGGAAGCCCCCTTTGCTCTTCCAACATGGCCGCGACATTCATTAGACGCTGATTGATGGTGACATTTGAAAAACACTACCGAGCCTCATAAACACTGCTAGAATATGGCCTTGCACATGCCTCCTCACGGGGCACATGGGAGAGGATGTATATGGAGGGAAATGATGGCGTAAGGGTAAAATGGAGCTGTGAATTTGTTCCGGGAACTCACCCGTGGTTGAGCCATGAATGCCCTGGCTACAGCACCGGCGTAATCCGCGTGCTGGGCCACTTTGACACACGACTCAGCTCTAGAACCCACCCGTACAACTAGCAGGCACACAACACTTCAATAATTCTTCAATTCAGACTGATGGCACCTGATGGGGGAAACACTGTGCATTCGAAATGACGGGAATTTTGTTCGCCAACAAACAAACTTATCTTGAAGCGATAAAAATGTGTATCACTTGCATGACATCACCACACACTGCACGCACATCATCACAGACTCTGTAGCTTCACAACGGCTTCTTTGTATTCCCGGAAATGTTTCTTCTCTTCCTCGCTGATGGCTGACAACTCCAAATTCCGCGCGCGACGAGGATAGCCTTATCCGGCCGATTTGCTGCCGCCTCAGTGTACAACAGCGCGGTGACGGTCCCACACTGTTACAGCAAAGAGGAAGTTGTCCACGACGCTGCTGCCAGTCAAACCATCTGTATATATGGATAGATGTGTTGAAGTGCCCCCGCTGGTTTGGGTAAAACGACGGCTCGTGATGTTGTTTTCGGGTTCTTCTGCTACTGCGCCGAGAGTTTTCAGGGAAGCCGGGGCAGACAGGAAAGTCAGCCACTCACACACACGGGCCGCGAACGTATAGAACCTGCGCGTACTGCAGTCGTCTGCCAACTGTCAATCACTACAGTCGCGGGGGAAGGGACCGAGCGCGGGGCTCCTGCCGGTAGAAATGTATGGCTCGTCATGTGAGTTGCTTCGAGAAGGGCGGGCTGCGCCGCGCATCTTCAGATCTAGACTGCCAATGCGCAGCTTAGACCCAACCCCTTTACGAGTGAGCAGACAAGACATGGATGAACTGGACTGGTTGAGCACGGCTACGCTAAAGCACAAGGGCGGGCCGAGAGCTCGTGGCACTGACGGGACTCGTCTACTCTGATCGCAGCGCCATTCAGTCACAGAGTGACGGATGGCAAGAACTAAAAACATAGGCTCCTTCATTTTCTCGTCTCCCCTCTTCAGCAGCCGTAGCACGGAATCAAGATTCCCCTCTTTCGCCTTTGTCGTCATCACCGCCGGGAATATTGTGCCCGGCGGCCCGATGGAACAAGCAACACCCCACCTGCCCACCTTCCTGACATCCTCGCGAAATGCAGCTTACTGTGTCAAATGCTTGAACCAACATAAATCAGGTCGAATGAAGATTAGCCCCGCGCTGACATTCATTGGATCATCATTTCATCATATTTCCGTAGCAGGTAGCTGCACAATCCAATTCTAAGAGCATGTTACGAAGAAATGCTTGCAGATATTCAGTGTCTGTGTTCTCACAGATACACCAGGTATTTTTAAGTGGATGTATTGCTTTGCCTACTTTCTCTCTGTAGCTTTGTACGAAATTCCATCGATCCATCTTATCCACCCCTCCCTGCTTCCACAGTCCATAAGCTTATGTGACCTATATGCCTATGCACATTCCCACACGAAAATAATTGGCTACTTATCTACATTTTATGGATGTGAGTATTTGTGAAAATTGTTACTTCACTTTGAATGAATGAAAATGAAAGTGTCATTGCATGTTGAAATTCCTCTTTAGCTTAGCACTAGAGGACTCTAGGGAATGGGAAGTTATGCTTAGTGTTTCCAAGTCTTAGCTCTGCCTTCTGGCCTCGTTCAGAATATAGCCCTGGCATAAATACTTGCACCTGTCACGGTAGTCAAACGATCTAAGGCATGAACTGCCTTCGCTCGCTCGGAAGCCGGGATCATGGGTTCGAATCTCACACGAGGCATAAATGTTTGGTATGTCTATGTGTTTATTCTGTGCTTGTGTTCTGTGTTTAGTTAGAGGCTTTGCGAAGAGCTGATCACTCGTCCAAGGAGTCCTACCGTCTGTAAAATGTTTAAAAAAAATCCTCGATACCGTAAAGGCATACGAGGAACGGATTAAGAAAGTAGATAATTAAATGCAAAGGTAGAGAAAACAGACTAAAGCAATTAAGCAAATTCAACAACTGGGCAAATTCAATAACTTAGCTATATTCATTAAGCGAATTCAATAACTGCACACTACTACAAGCGTTAAAATAAAACTTAGGTGCACACTACTGAACGGTAAATGACGTCACAAAGATGCTTCGGCAAATTAATAAATTCATTTACAATTAAAAATATTTGCATATCACGGAATTAGATTTCATCGAATAAAACAACTTTTCTTGTTTCTCTGACGCCCCTTGTAAGTTGTGGCTGTCCGAAAGGCGGGCCCAGAACTCCTCCTTCGAGCATCCTGTAGTGCCAGCACCTGACACCTCGCTCTATACAGGCGTGTTTCATGTTTCAGCACACAACCTTTCCTCTTCGGCCTACTGCTAACTCCATATTAGTCGAACTTTTAGCTGCTACTGTGCAAGAAATATAGGCATATTTCACGTAAGTCTTCTAACATACGGCAAATATTATTTTCGACCTGAGGAAAGATGTTTCATTTCTCGTTCTATGCAAAAGTAGGTTAATATATTTTTTTGCCTCTTACAAGAAGAGCCCTAAATTCCTACGGAATTCCGTAACACCTGTAGGTTACCTCACAAGACCAACATATAGATATATCGGCAAGAAATTAAAAGCACAGTCAGGCCATAGGGCGACTTACATTTCTCAGGTAATTACAAATTAAATAACAATTACGTACGTAAGTGGCACAAGTTCGGAAATATACTAGTAGCATTTATATTCTCGAGATCTGAGACACTTGGTGCTTTAGCTTCGACGTCACAGCGTAACGCCGAAGACGTAGACCACATTTACCATCCCATTCTACGCAACTCTACAACTCCTATCCGTATAGAACCTGCCCTAATAATCTCTTGGGACTCGCCTGGAAACAACGGCGCCTGAAATTATGCAGTTCTTCACAAGTTTTTCTGCAAAAGGAACTAAGCCTAGAGGGTACTATGGCGCTTAATAACAGGCATTTTAAAAAGTACCATCTCTAACAGGTTCAGACTCCAAGAGCAATAATTAATAAAATTTAGGCCTACGAGCAGAGAATAAACCTATTTCTGTTTGGTTTACATTTCGGAATATTTGTCGAATTTAGGCTTAAAATAAATAAGAACTGTACTAAACTTTATTTTGTTTAAACAGATGAATGAGTATGGCCTACATAACATTTACATATGCGTAATTGAATTTTTTTTAAATTAAATAAATAGATCTATATATCTATATTAATGATGTTAATGTAAATATTCGAAAATACGAAGTTGTCAGTACTACCGAAATCCTCTTCGGTCTACAGCTGGCGCTAACATATTTTCCGCTTGCCTAATAAGAAATAAATTTTCGAAAACCCATCAGGAGAATTAGCTATCTGTAGGCCTGTTCTTAACGAGCTAAACTGGCGAATTTCAAGTGGGTAGCCCGTTTACTTCTGACGTCCGTCTACAAGCTAAGCAGATTTTTGGGGCTGTAGACTGAACAAAAGGTGGCAAAAGAAATAATAAAAGCATATAGCCTAAGAGGGAACATAAATGCAGTTCTACCAGCAATTTCATGCCTTATATCGGAGCCTATATATTTCATTGTCGATCACAGTAGCTGCGCGGTCTAAGGCATGAACCCTCTTGGCTCGCTCGGACGCTGGGATCATGAGTTTGACTCCCACTCAAGACATGAATGTCTGTGTATGTGTTTATTCTGTGTTTGTGTTGTCCTGAGTGTAGGTAACGGCCTTGCAACGGGCTGCTCTCCCGTCAAAGGAATCCTACCGACTGAAAAATGATTACGGTACTGAATAATAGGCCTGGACACAGAAAGGGGTGGAAGAGACATTGAAAAAATATTTCATTAATATCCTTTCACTAAGACGTGTCCTATTCAGGATGTACGCATGGGGCCAGAAACCGCTCATCGCGGATAGATTAACAGTCCTCCAATAGGCCTCAGGATGATTACCGAAATACTACTGACGGATGTATGAATGTGGAAGATACAGGACTATTAGTTACTATAGGATTCTGACGATGGTGTATAACACACTGATATATTGGGTTTTTGGACTTTATCCATCGTCCTGGTTTTTAAGAAAACTAATAACTGGAGAAAACTCCAGTGATTGAGGCTAGCTCTTTCTAACGAACCCAACAGAANGAAGGGGTCAAATTTATGGGGTCAAAAGGGAACTAATGGAAATGAAAGACATAATTTTAAACGTTACAGATTTATTTATTTAATTAACAAATACAATATTTATACACTTAGAGCGTTGTAAGTTTGTAAGTTGTTAAGCTTATATTACGTCATATATGGTTAGAATTGGGGACATGCGGTAGCGTAGTTGCTTGAGGCACTATGCTACAAG